ACAAATGGAGTGCCACATACTGTGATAGCAAATTTAGTCAGAAAGAAGAAAGTTGAAGAGTTGATTATTTGGCAATAAAGATAAAATTCGATTTTTTCTAGAAAAATTCGATTTTATCCGAATTTTAGCAACACAAAGTTCGATTTCAAAAAACCGCCATTTTGGAGCTAAAATTCGAATATCGAAGCCTCGAATATGGAATTTACCCATCCCTAATTAATAGCCCGAACACAATGATAACGACGAGCTATGGACCATGGCTGTCAAATTATTTTAACACGTACTCTTATGTAGATAATTATTTTGGCACCGACCGGGCTACGCGACGACTGTGGTTGTGGCCAGATTAGATCTATTTATATTTTTCCAGCGACAGATAAGGTTCTTCTTCTTCTTTTATGTCAAACTCGTACAAATTCATGATGTCGCCGACGCATTAAAAAAAATCATGCCGCCATCGACAAAGCGTTTAGACAATGAAGATAACAAATTGGAAGCTGTGGCCCGTAGCTCATCGTTTTTAATGTGTTCAGAACTTAAGGCGCCCTTGACAAATCGGAGGAGAATCTCGGTGAAACACTAACATATTAGGTTTGTTCCACAAGCTACTTGTAGAAAAACTCGAGCAAAGTTCAAACTGTCAGCGTATAACAAATAAACTCTAAGACTTACTTGTGGAACGCGTATGTGTAACTCGAAGTGACTTCGAGTAGCTTGTAGAACAAACCTATTGTGTAACAACACGTAGAGATTGAGGTGTTGTCTTAAAACACCGAGGTCGCGGGTTCAAATTCCACCACATGCAATCTTAACTATATTACACAGTTCTGCTCTTAAAAGCCCAATTTATATCGGGAAGAATTGTTAATAACATTATCCCTGTAATGTGAGTTTATGGCATTCGATACGATCTAGGGTTCTGGTACTCGATTCCAAAAAATGTCGTTTTAAAACTATCGAGTATCGATATCGATATGGTATCGTATCGTATCGAAATTCGTGTCCCTAGGCATAACTTTCTGATGAAATTTTCGGACTTTCTTACTATCGGCCAGCATTTCAACAATCCTCTCTCTTTTCTGTATACCTCTTGTTGCGCTCGAACGCAGAGATGGACTATAAGAGACATTTTCTATGCGGCGGCACGGCATTCCACGTCGTACCAGTTGCTCTTTCGGTCTCGTTGAAATCCGCCTACATTACCAGTCCGTAGTGAACGGCAAATGTGATTCCGTTGTTCTCAAATGTCAGTTTTTTGAAGAACGCTCTCAGACGATAGGTATGAGAGTCGAGTGACAAATATGCTTCTCGTCCGTTATGATTGCAGCTTTTGCGTGGACCTTTCCCTGCGTAACTGAGGACAGTGCTTTTCTTGGCTGTAACAAGTAATAGTATTCGTAACTTTCCGTCTATCGAAGCATGTTCGATTTGGTTTCTCGTTTTCGGGTCAGGTGATAGCAATGGAGCTTGATGAATCTTCTTTGAATTTCTGGCATATTCAATGACCTTAGGTCTATGAGAATCGAGTAGTCTCATTTGCCAGCAAACCAAAAAATTTGATAGTATGGTGCTGTGTACTCGTAATTAACGCTGCTTGCAGCTACATTTTACTCCTTGTAGTTATGATTGCACTTAAGTAGCCGCTAATAAATAGAACATAGTACAAGTAGAAGAACACAACTCCCAGAAATTAAAGTACTTACATTTATGTATGTATAAAAAAAGAAAATACAGAAAGGCACAAAAATAGTTTCACCTTGAAGGGGAATGAAAATGAGGCGGCATTTAAAGTGGTGATGGAGCGCATTTATTGGATAATTAAAAGAAGCAGAAGGGCAAAACTACAAGAAATTACAGATTTTTGTTTTGTTTTTGTTGCTGTTCGGATTTATGAATTACAAGTTACCACACAATTTTGATGTTAAAAATGAATTTACCGCGCTTGTGGCCATGAAAAGGAAGAGGCTTCGTAAATATAAAAGAAAAGCTACATAGACGAGCGATACACCCGGCCAATGCTGAGCACAGATTTCTTGATTGAAGGCGGTAATAAAAATTCCAGGCAAACAATTTTAATGCACTCGAAGCGGCAAGAGCAATGCACAGGCAAGCGGAAAAGAGATTAAGAAGAAAAGAAATGCATTGAGTAAATAGTACTTGTGAAAAGCATGTGAAAAGAAAAAAAAACAAAAAATGATTTCATTGCTATGGCTGGCCGTGCTGCTATTTTCAATTTAAAATTTTCAAGGGCAGTGATTAATTGTGCCGGCTGGGCCGGTCTTGAGGCATGCAACAAAATGTATGCAGATCAAATAGCTTGTACGACATATGTAAAAATGACAAGGGAAGCAGCAGAATGCTTAACTAGGCATTTGATGTGGCTTGCACTGTGTAAATTAGGGTGGTCCTTAAATGTAGCGAGCAAATTTTTACATCAGATTACAAATTTTGGTCTCACTTGGAGACGGATATGGCGTGTCGCTCAGGGGCTCAAAGTTCAGATTACCCTCTGACAACGTCTTAACCGACTTCAATCGGGACTAAAATTTATATGTGATATCCTCGACTTTAGGAGTAACTTTCCTTAAAGTCCTCTGGCCTTTGACCCCTTTGCGACACGCCTTAATCGACTCCAATCGGAACCAAAATTTACATGTGATATCTATGACAGTGGTGTTACCGATTGAAGGGGTGACATTGAAAAAGATCGTTCATTTGATTTTTTTTTAAGGACCACCCTAGTGCACATACGGTGTGTGACTGGAGTTTGCCTTCGGAAATCTTGTAAAAGTATTTGAACTCGCACCCTAGCGGCCTAGGGAAATGACAGGCGCGAGTTAACACCACACACGCATACATACACATGCGCGCCAAGAACAAAAGAAATTATAAATATTTGTTTGTGAATGCAGANAACACACGCATACAAATGCGCGCCAAGAACAAAAGAAATTATAAATATTTGTTTGTGAATGCAGATCTGCTCTTCCATAGCTTTTGTTTTTATTTGGCTGTGTGGCTGTCTTCGACCTTTTTATTTTGATTTTCTTGTAACATATTTTTTTTTCCTTTCTCAACACTCGTTCATCTCAGCTTACTTTTTCTTCTCTACTTAGCTATTGTTAGTTCAGATCCAATGTGTTAGAAAAATGCACTTTTGATCGCTTACTTAGCACACCCGTGTACGAAGGAAATCTAAAATTGATTAAAATTAATTGTACTAAGACGCTTTGCCGATGAGACACATTAATCTTGGTTGCAACTGCATTATTCTATTCACTTGCCTATCTCTGCACAAGTAAAACATATCGTATCTGCATAAGCAGCAACACTTTGGGAAAGTAGGGGTATTCACGATCCGGTGTATACTGTCTAGCTTGTTGCATAGATAGCATAAATAGCATGATTGGCTAATTTTTTATTTTTTTTGTTGTTTGAACACATGAAACAACAACAATCATGCATTTGATCGTGAATACCCCTAGTGTAATTTAAGGCCATGCAGAATAGCGCACTTTCAGCGAGAGTTCGTTACCAGCAATGCTGGGCACGCGTCTTTTCATTTTAAACAAATGCGTTATTGTAACGCTTCACTGGAGCGTAGGTTCATTTGAAGGAAAATTTATTGTCAACAAATGGGAATGTATTTTCTTACATACAAATAGCCTATGTATTTATGTATTTAAGTATGTATAGCACCCATCAACCTATCAGAGTACCTATAGGAGTAACAGGCTGGTTAAGTTTGCTTTCCGATATTACTTCTCTGAACCGAAGTATAAAATATTTATCTTAAATGGCGACTAAAATCGCCAGATGTAAGATTTTTGAAATTCAAAATGGCCGATCCAATATGGCGACCAAATTTTATAATTTTCTCCTTTTCAACACAAACTCATATAAAAGCGGGGCTTTCGAGGTCACTGATTTCGAATCTGATGTCAGATTTTTTAAATTCCAAATGGCGGATCCACTATGGCGACCAAGCTTTATAATTTTGTCCTTTTTACCACCAACTCATATAAATGCGGGGTTTTCGAGGTCGCTGATTTTGAAATTCAAAATGGCCGATCCAATATGGCGATAAAATTTTATATTTTTCTCCCTTTCGCCAAAAACTTTTATATAAAGGGGTTTTCGAAGTGGCGATGTCAGATTTTTTTTAATTGAAAAGGCGGGTCCAATGTGGGTTTTATCGGATTTGGAGCAAGAAAACTTCAGTTAAAAATAGTAGACCACATTTTTGCTATATATTTTTCCCTAATCATACATAGGTGTTTCAAAAAAAAACTGTTCCTTTTGGATAGAGTTTGAATTTATATTTTATTTGTACAAATTTGTACTTAAGTAGTTGTTTGAAAAGACACTAGCACAACAAGTATAGTACTTATAATTAGGCTAGGTATAAAGTTAAAAATCATATTATTTTTGCTCTTTCTTTGAAGTAGGTGTTATATTCTTCAGGGAGCGCTCTTTTAATAACATTTTGCAGCAAATAGTTTAAATCGGCGTTTTTTTGACATCTGCTGGCTGACTGCTTCTTTTCAAATATCGAAAAGTACGGTAAAATACACGTAGAAGTTTTCTTAAAAAATGCGAAAAAGGTGCAACATGATCATCCTCAGCCCACAAGCTCTAAATTAAATATTCTCATTGCCCACAAAGCTTGAAGACCGCCAAATGTTTTAGACCATTTTTAATGTAATATAATGTTTTTAACAATTCTCACACACTTAAATGCGCTTGACCACCCAACCGCTTTTTAGCGTAGACCACTTTAAACTATCTCCAAATCTTTTAAAACTTGTCCTTTACTGCTCTTGGCAAACAAGCACAAAAATATTCCACTAATTGGTAATTTTCTACGCGATTGCCACGAATTGTGCTCAAATACTAAAACGAAATGCATTAAAAGGAATGTTTGCAGCACAAAACACCGAAAAGTTTGCAACAAATAGAAAATTTTAACATTCTATTCTTCTTCTTTTTTGTGCTTTCAGCAATTTGCCGCAAATTGTCCAGCGTACGCTGAATTGTATCCGCAGGCTTACGCTTGCAATAGTACGAGTATTGAGACCACAGCGACGCCTACACTTGCCGCCACAGCAATGGCAACAACAGCAGCAGCTGCAACAGCGACAACGATGACAAGTCGCAGCATAGACTTGGCCTTGCGCAAGTATCAACAATGGAGCAGCAAGTTTCTACCAGCCACCAGCAACAGCAACAGCACAATGCCAATGCAAGCGCCAGTGCCAGCAACAGTAACAACACCAACAATGCCGGTAGTTGCAACAAATGCCGACTGTGTCACCACTCACTTGTCAACGTCTTCATCACACAAATCCAATTCCTGCTCCTACTCGGCCAACACTACCACTGCCACTTCAGGCTACTACAGCCGTCGTCTGACGACAATGATTGGCAACGCGTCGGAGGTAGAGCGGTCGCGTGAGATGGGAGAGGAAGAGAAAGAGGGTCAGCAGCAATTGTGGAGCGCTGACGGAGATCGAGAGTTGCTCGTTAGTGCTAACAAAAGGCCGAAAGTATATGATTGCATGAAGGAATTTTTGTGTCGAAAACTCTTTCAGCAGCGACATGGACAACAAGAGCAGCAGCAGCGCCGCCAGCAACAGCAACAATCAGCGCTAATGGAGGCTGCACATTGCAAAAGCGACACCGAGGAGGATGTCACTAGTGATTATGATGAGGTAAGTTGGCTTAGACCGAGTACGAACTTTGCAAGTTCTAATTCTGCTTTCTTTTCGCTCTTTCCCCCTCACCTCTCTTGCCCTAAGGTTGACATGCTGGATTCCTCGTACAACGCCGACGAGGAGGATGCCAGTGATTGCAGTAGCCAATGTACTTGCCCATTAGAAAGCGACAACGAGGACATGGAAGCGCGGCGGAAAGTTTCACTAATAGAGCAACAACCACAACAGGCGAAACAACCACAGCAACAACGTAGTACACCACAAAAATCGATTAGTCCGCAAAAATCAATGCTCTCGTTAAATTGCTGGCAAAACAGCACACAATACACCGACTCCACCACCAGCACAGAAGCGGAAGAAGAGGAGGAGGACGAGGAGGAGAACGAGGAGGAGGAAGAGACCAATGCGCAGCTGGCGCATAAAGTCGCTGATTACCAAAATATCGCAGATGATTCGGATGCTGGCATCTCGGATTGTTGTCAGTTGATAAGCGAAAAATCAAGTCCTTCGAAGCAACGCGTGCGACAACCGAGACCGAAACAAAAACAACAATCGCAAGCGCGCTACAACCGCAACAACAACGCTGATGATGACGAGGAGTTGCTCGCAAGCAATTGGTATCAGCCGCGCATTACCACCAAAGCTGCGCTTGAACGCCTTCAGCAGGCCACACCCGGCACATTTCTACTGCGCCGCAAGTCGCGTAGCTACGAGCTATGCCTGCGCGCCGAAACGAAAGTGAAGCAATTCGCAGTCGTGGCGCTGGCGGACAATCATTACAAATTGAAAGGCGCCAAGAAGCAATTCACATCGCTGAAGGCATTGGTCACGCATCATTCCGTTATGGCGGAAGAATTGCCGTTGACTTTGGCGCTGCCGCGCGTATACAACAGAGCGTACGGTGTGAGCGGCAAGTGCGCGAAAAACATGGCAGCAGCATTGCAAGTGAGCGCACAAACGTGGAGGTCCTTGCGTTACGCTGATGATTTCGATACGTACGAGTCGTTGCAAATTTTGGGTTTATTGCAAGACTGGCAGAGCGAAACCAATGAATTCTGAAGACGAGTTTTCGAAGTCTAAATGGGTAAAGCTGCGGAAGTGAATGAGTGCAGAGTTTTGCGAAGGCATTACGCGCTTGATGGCCGAAAGAAAGTTGGGCAAAAGTTTGCGAAATAGAATTTGAATATTTTGAATATATGTAGAAGAGAAATGCGGTTATTATTAAACAGGCNTGCTCTAACAAATGCAGTGTGGTGATTGGACTCAACGTTGTACAGCATCGATTTTTTGTTTAGATTTAAGCGTTCGTGTTATTAAATTCATAAGTAGCATAGCAATCGAAAATGTAGATTTAATATAAGAAAACAAATAGAAAAAAAAAACGAAATAATTGCCAATATTGGAGAAATAATATCTATATGTACAGAGTTAGAATAAACCAAAAAAAACCTACGTTGATCAAGTCTTAGTTTTTTTATTACAAAAAAGGACACATTCAAAATCGAGTATCACCTTAGCTACTTCAGAATCATGTAGACACTTACGCTTTCAAGAACTAATCCACAAACCGGAGACACATTAGTCCGTCCGCCGTAGCAGATAAGTACAGTTTTAGGAGGATGTTGCAAAGCAGCGCAATATAAAGGAAACCCTTTCCCTTTATGACATTCTGCAGAGTTACCCCACGCGACTGCTCGGAGTGAAATTTATACCCGATCCGGTAAAAACTTGCAGATCTATTTTAAACATTTCAGGTCAGCCAGTCTCGTTTAATTTTTTCCAAAAAACCACAAAGAACCTGATTGACTTTCCTACATATAAGAAACAGGATCCTCACATTGGCTCACACCCCAACTGCGTATAAAGAAAAAAAGTCGGTCGAGACTGCCATGCACAATATCATGAAATCATGAGAGGTATTTCTGTATAATAGCTTCGCAGGCGGCTACCCTCTTTAACTTCTAAAGGACCTTAAACAATCGTTCGAACACATTATGTGTGAGAGAATTTCCACGGCTTTACAGGTCGCCGTCTCCATGCGGCGAAAAGTGAGCAGAGAAACCCAACAAGGTGGTGTTTTTCACCCTTAGCTTAATTTGGTTGTAAACGATCTTCTAGAGGAACTGGAGGGCAAGTTTTTTTTGGGTATTACCTATCTACTTTGTGCCTATAACGAGGGACAAGTGGCTGGATAAGGCGGCTCTTGGAGTGTTCGAGAGAAAAATTTTGCGGAAGATTTACGGGCCTTTACGCGTTGGCGACGGCGAGTACCGCAGACGATGGAGCGATGAGCTGTATGAGCTGTACAGGCACGTGGACATAGTGCAGCGAATTAAAATACTGAGCCGCCGCTGGCTTGACCCTGTCATTCGAATGGCCACCGACGCGATGGAAAGAGCAATTGGAGAAGGACTTGACTTCACTTGTAATTTCCAATTAGCGTCAGTTGGCACAGAGTGCTTTGCTTTGTTGAACTCGGCCAAAATCGTTTAGGCGGTTACATCGCCAAATAAAAAGAAGAAATTTCTGGGTTTCCTTTGTGATCTAATTCAAGTTTACCTAAGCTTCGGACTTATTCATCCTGTTGTTTATGATGGAATCAAGGAGGCCATTTGTAAAAGATGGAGCCATTGCCATTGTTAATCTTTGAATGTCCCATAGAGCTTTTATCAGTTGGAATGGGTTAGAGAAGACGAAGGAAATGTAAGCGGATTACTTCCACTCTGCCATTTTATGTCAATTAACGGCATCAAGGGCTAGGATCAGTATTATCGGAAATTTCGACTTTATCCCTGTGAGGGGATAGACTGGCGTCAGTCAATCCTTTGTCAACTCAAAATGCCTCATGCGATGAGTGGTGGAAGCAGTACTTACGCCGGCGCTACGAAGTTTGATACAAGAACCGATGTAAGTGTATGCCGCTGGATACCCTTCATCAATCTCAAATTTGTGCCTTTTGCTATAAATGAAGTGGTTTGCCGGTAAAGGTAGCTGCCATTAAGAACGTTGATGTATGCCTTAATTGTGTGATAATAAAGGAGTTTAAAATCTCCCTAGATATCCAAGAAGAAATCTATATCTAGAGCACACTTACGAGGCTTACACTGGAAATAGGCCAGAATGATATTGCAGGGTTCTGCTTTACGGATTATTGGCAGTTTCACTGAGAAAGCGCATGTATACCTATGGGCTAATCTGGAGACACATAAATTTCCCTTCTGCCCACAGAGCATCCTGCGACCCGTAAGACGTGGCTTTCAGAGCTAGACCAGAGGTTCCCACTTTCAAAATTTTACTGGTTTTGGTGGACCCTCTGCTGCTACATTTCTACCATATTCCCAAAGTTCATCAAATTACATATATATGAAGATTAGATCTAACAATGGTATATGCAAGTTTTTACAAGTAACAGTAGCTGACCTTCTTAATTTAAAAGTTCGTAAAATAAAACTTTAAGCAAGAAAATCTCTCGATAGGAATAAGATACAACTATGGAAAAATATGGGTTCGAAGGCTGACAAGGGAAAAATAGTCCCATTATATAATCATCATATTCAACCCCTCAAACAATTCATTGAAAAATAAACTCTCAAAAAAAATGAATACTTTGCTGGCTATCAGCAAAAAAAAATGGTTTTTTGGACTTTCTTTGTAGATTTTCAACCGAGGAATTCAAATTTGTTGTCAAGAGTTGACTCAAACATCTTTCAGAAGGTCATTTTTGTTTAATTGCAAAGTTGCATCTAAATTTTCAACTTTTTATCAGATTTTCCGAAATTTTTTGAGTATGCAGTTTTGTAGCCCATTAAAGCAAAGTGCAAGTTTTGAGTTGCTAAAAATTTCGTAGATTTTTGGCAATTTTTTTTAACGCATTTCCTTCCATAAAAAGTATATTCGACAATTTTTTTGAATCGAAAAAATTTGGAATACAGTCAGAAAAAAAGATATCAAAAATAAACGCGCATTTTAGCAACTTAAAACTTGTAAATTATTTTTCTACAATTACATGGAAGTTTTATTACTCAGTGAGGAATTTTTGCGATCTCTGTCTTAAAATACACTTCTAAAAAAAATTATGGAAGGTTTAAAAAGGAAAGTGAAATTTTTTTTCATGCCCGTGGACAGAAAAAAACTAACTTGCAAAATTACTTGTTCGCGCTATCTGTCAGGATGACATGAGAACCGTAGCAGCTAGAAATTTTTAGATGAGAAATCTGAAAATTAGAACGTTAAAGCAAAGTCAAAGTTTTTTTTTTTAATTCTCAACACGAGCATTTTTTACCGAAATACAACCTGTCAGAAATCACTTACTTAAATTTGTATGTTTTTTTGCTCCCTTCATTTTTTTGAGTAGTGTAAATATTATCGAGCGAAATTTTTTCGAATTGGAGATGTAATCACCGTCGATTGCAATTTTTTAAATAGTGTTAAGGGCTCTCTGGTACTTCAGTCAGTAAATAGTGCTTGCATTATTTCGATATACCAGTTGACTAAACCTCACCTTATACGCGATGCCAACGCTATTTTTTTTGGAGGCATATGCGTTCAACACTACTTTTTCTGAAGCCTCTAAAATATTTTCAGATTCTCGAGTCGCGCAATCAACGTACGTCTTAAATTTATATGCATAGATCTATTTAAAGCTGCTATTCCTCTAACTGCACTGCCATTTATCAGAATCGTCTCGCTTTTCTGGTGAGCCACTCCACCAGCCGTGCGTGGATTCATTAATTTTTTTTTTTGGTAAGGGCATTAAAATACCGACTTTACTTTTCACTCTAGTAGGCTCTAAGTAGTTACTCATGCATTACCTTAATGAGCGCGACAATAAAAATACTCATATTTTGAAGCTGCGGCAATGAAGTCATTAGAGAACGCCGGGAAATGTAATTTTCACTACCATAATGACCAATATTTATGCAAATTAGTTTATCAAAAGTGTTCTAATAGACCTTAAAAACGAATTGAACTGTGCAATCTAAAAGGAACAAATTAAATTTAGATTTTTTCGAACACATTAAAGATTTTTACGAGTCAGCTGTCGCTTTGTATTTATATCCACCTTAAAATGTATATTCTCATGAAACTTTAACTGATTCGGATGCACCGAAACATTTTATGAGTAATAAAATTTTATTTGGAAATTTAAAAATAATTATACAATGCAGCAGAAAATTTGAAAAAGAGTTGGCGAAGAGACGACACAGCGTACAGTACATTTGCTGAAGTAGTACGCATTTGTCGGCATTTTATATGTAAGCAAGCATGTAAGTTAATCACAAAGCCAGTCTGTGCAACCACAAGCGACAAACAAAATCCCAAAATACATAAAATAACCAAAAACAAAATCGACTTGAAAGGAAATGTGCGATGAAAGGCGTGAAAAAAGCGTATCATAAACTTTTTTATGACACCGCCAGCTTTTGTATTTATATGACAACACTTGTTGAATTATATAATACGTGCTATATCCGGCATAGTTTTCCAGCAAATAAAAAAACTTAAAGCGTTTCAAAAGAAAGATTTTCGTCATCGTAAATTTACATTCACAAAGAAAGTGTCATAAACAATACTCAACTCTTCTATTCATTTGGCAATATCTAATGTTGCTCCACTCCACTCCACTCCACTCCACTCCATTCATTTTCATCATTTATGAAATTAAGCACAAATATGCGTGTGTGTGTGTGTGTGTATGCGTGTGCATAACTCATCCGCCATGCCGCACAGTGTAACGTCTCCCTATAGTGAGTGGCCAAAGTAGAGGCAGTTGTGGCAGATCAATGAAATTTTGCACAGATATTTTTTGGCTAGTTATTAGGAAAGATTTTAAGTTTGAGTCAAATCGTATGAAGGACACGCCTACCTCCCATAGAACTGCAAACTAAAAACATGGATTTTATATACCAAATTTAGTCCGAGTGCAACAAAATTAAATATTTGTGCAAGATTTGATGATATCTGCAACACGCATATGTCTGTACATGCAAATTTTTAAATTTGGTCTAATGCCAAGCCCACCTGCCTTACAACCCACGCGCATAAAGTGCACTTTTATATATAAAAGCTCTACAGATTTTGATAATTCCTGATAGACCCACGTGTTCTGATAGTATAATTTAAATCGTTTCACTGTCACACCCACCTCTAATAAAAAAATTTATGAACTTTAGATATTTTTTTATTCTGACAAATAATTAAATTTGCCTATAACACCGAGCGAAAGTGAATTTTAAACACAAAAAAATTAATTTATTCACAAAACATGGGCCAAATATAGCAAACCTGCTTTTTATTTTTTCTCTCTGTCTCTGAATTTTTTAAAAGGACTCCGAAATTTGTAAATATGATTACTTAAAACATTTTTTTTAATTCAGTGCAATGTAGAAAAACAGCAAATAAAATTTGTTGGTGCATAG